CTTGTCTCTGGTCTTCCCCGGTCCCTCCCTCCCCTTCCTCCGGGGCCAGGCCCTACCTGCGTCCCTTGTGTCGAGGGGCGGCAGCGGGCTGCCCCTCACTCCTCCCAGTTTCCTCCGACAGAGGCCCCGCTGCAGACGCTTCACATGGACGTGTGGGGCCCGGCCCGCGTCCGTGGACAGGGTCACGAGCGCTACTTCCTGCTGGTGGTTGACGACTACTCGCGTTACACCACAGTCTTCCCCTTGCGCAGCAAGGGTGATGTCACTGAGGTGTTGATCGACTGGATCCGCGCAGCTCGTCTCCAGCTCAGGCAGAGCTTCGGCTCGGACTTTCCTGTTCTGCGTCTGCACTCTGACAGAGGTGGAGAGTTCTCCTCTGGCCTTCTGCGAGCTTACTGTCGTGCACGAGGCATCCGCCAGACCTTCACGCTTCCGGACTCTCCACAGCAAAATGGGATTGCTGAGCGCCGCATTGGCATGGTCATGGACGTCGCCCGTACGTCCATGATGCATGCGGCTGCCCCCCATTTTCTGTGGCCGTTTGCGGTTCGGTACGCGGCGCATCAGATCAACCTTCACCCCAAGGTCTCCATGCCGGAGACCTCCCCAGCTTTGCTGTGGACGGGGAAGGTTGGCGATGCGTCTGCGTTCCGTGTCTGGGGATCTCGGGCGTTTGTCCGCGACTTGTCTGCGGACAAGCTGTCCCCTCGTGCTGCTCCTTGCGTCTTCCTTGGCTTCCCCCCTGACGCGCCAGGGTGGCAGTTCTACCACCCCACCTCTCGCCGTGTTCTGTCCTCCCAGGACGTCACGTTTGACGAGTCGGTCCCCTACTACCGCCTCTTCCCCTACCGCACTCCGTCCCTCCCCCCGCCACCGCTCTTCCTTGTGCCAGGTCCCCCCCCGGTAGACCCCCTCCCCCCTCAGGGTCCTGCCCCTTCAGGTGTGTCCCAGGTAGACGCCGTCGAGCCTGTCGAGGTTACTGGTGACTCTGGTGCTGCTGAGGGTGCTGAGCCTGGGGGTGCTGACTCTGGGGGTGCTGAGCGTGTGGGTGCTACGCCTGGGGGTGCTGAGCCTGAGGGAGCTGGGCCTGGGGGTGCTGAGCCTGGGGGTGCTGAGCCTGGGGGTGCTACTACTGGGGGTGCTGAGCCTGGGGGTGCTGAGCCTGGGGGTGCTGAGCCTGGGGGTGCTACGCCTGGAGGTGCTGAGCCTGGGGGTGCGGAGCCTGAGGGAGCTGGGCCTGCTCGTGTGGCGTCTGGCGGTGCTGAGCCTGGAGGTTCTCCGGGTGCTTCGTCTCGGCGGGAGCCACTCTCTCCACAGGTGCTGCGCGAGTGGTTTGCCCGGCGCTGGAGGCGTGCTGCTGGAGCTGGAGGTTCTTCGGCTGCTGAGGGTGCTGGTGCCGCGGGTCCCGGAGGTGCTCGTACTGGGAGTACTGGAGCTGTTGGGCCTGTGGGTACGACTGGAGCTGGAGCTGCTGAGGGTGTTGACGCTGAGGCTACTGCTGTCGGTCCTGGAGGCGGTCCTGCTGGGGGTGCTACTGGTGCTGCTGGTGGTACTGGAGCTGGAGGTGCTGCTGGCGCTGGTGCTGCCGCTGGGGGTACTGGTGCTGTCCCTGCCGTGTCTGGAGTCGCCGCGCGGCCTCGGCCGTACTTCGTTCCGCTCCTTCAGCAGGTTCTTGGTCTCCCGCCTTCTACTGGTCGTCCTCCTCCCTTAGAGTGTCCACAGCCTGTCCCGTCACAGTTACAGTTACAGCCGGCCTCCCCACTGCCCGCTCCTTCTCCCTACACTGGTCCTACTGGAGGTCTGGCTGAGCGTCGTGAGCCTGCGTCTCGCCCTGCGTCGCCTGTCCGTCCTGCTCGCTCTAGTGGTCGTGGTTCGCGTCAGCGTCCTCCTCCTGTCCCTGGCACGCACCGGATGTCTCTGCGTCCGTCCACTGCTCCTCTGCGTGCCCCTTTGCCTTCTCCTCCTGAGTCCTCTCTTCCTGCTCTTCCCGACCCGGAGTCGGACTCTCTTCGTGCTGCCAGTCCTACTGTCACGCGTCTCCTTGCTACTGTCGTCACTGACCCTTCCTTTGAGTCCACTGCTGCGTTGCCCTAGTTGCTGAGCTCGTCGACTTTGCTGCTCGCTGTCGTCTAGACTACGCTGCTAGTCTTGTCGTTGAGTCTGAGTCTGTCTGTCCTCCGTCCGTCGGGGGTGAGTGTGCCCTTGGCACGGACGTCCTTGAGGACAGGCAGGAGGAGTTCCAGTGTTTGGCTGCTGCTTCACCTCATCTCGTGTCCGTACTGCTTACCCCTGAGGGAGACCCGGATGCACTTGACATCCCGACTCCGCGCTCTTACGCGGAGGCGATAGAGGGTCCCTACTCCTCTCAGTGGCAGGCAGCTATGGACACAGAGATGGCTTCCTGGAAGTCCACAGGCACCTACGTTGACGAGGTTCCCCCGCCTGGGGCGAACATCGTCAGTGGCATGTGGATTTTCAGGGTGAAGCGACCGCCGGGTTCTCCGCCTGTCTTCAAGGCGCGTTACGTGGCTCGTGGCTTCAGTCAGCGGCAGGGAGTTGACTACTTTCAGACCTTCTCTCCCACCCCGAAGATGACCACTCTTCGGGTACTGCTGCACATAGCTGCTCACCGCGACTACGAGATGCACTCTCTTGACTTCAGCACTGCTTTCTTGCAGGGCAGCCTGCACGAGGAGATCTGGCTGCGTCGCCCACCTGGCTTCACTGGGTCTTTTCCTCCTGGCACCCAGTGGAGCCTCCGGCGACCAGTCTACGGTCTCCGCCAGGCACCGCGTGAGTGGCATGACACACTGAGGACTACACTTGCGGCTCTTGGGTTTGCTCCCTCTACTGCCGACCCGTCGCTGTTTCTGCGCACCGACACTTCTTTGCCCCCGTTCTACATCCTCGTGTACGTCGACGACTTGGTCTTTGCCACAGCTGACACTGCTGGACTCGCCCACGTGAAGTCCGAGCTGCAGAAGAGACACACGTGCACAGACCTGGGTGAACTGCGCAGCTACCTTGGCTTGCAGATCACCCGGGACAGAGCACGCCGCACCATTACCCTGACTCAGCCACACATGGTGCAGCAGGTCCTTCAGCGCTTCGGCTTCACGTACTCCTCGCCTCAGGCCACTCCTCTGCCTACTCGCCACTCGCTCTCAGCTCTGCCTTCGGATGAGTCCGTAGAGTCGAGTGGCCCGTACCCAGAGCTTGTTGGCTGCCTCATGTACCTGATGACCTGCACACGACCTGACCTCGCATACCCTCTTAGCATTCTCGCACGCTATGTTGCTCCTGGGAGACACAGACCGGAGCACATGGCTGCAGCGAAGAGGGTGTTGCGTTACTTGTGCAGTACGTCGGGCATGGGGCTTGTGCTTGGAGGGCAGAGTCCAGTGGTCCTCACTGGGCACGCAGACGCTTCTTGGGCTGACGACCAGGCTACGCAGCGGTCGTCACAGGGTTACACCTTCAGCCTTGGTTCCGGCTCTGTTTCGTGGCGGGCTACCCGCTCGTCTTCTGTTCTTGGCTCCAGTTGTGAGGCTGAGATCTACGCCGGGGCCATGGCTGCACAGGAGCTTCGCTGGCTCACCTACCTGCTGACTGACCTCGGAGAGCCGCCTCGTTCTCCTCCAGTGCTGTACGTAGACAACAAGGCCATGCTGGCCTTGTGTCGAGAGCAGAGACTGGAGCACAGAACGAAGCACATTGCTCTCCGCTGCTTCCTTGCTCGTGAGCTACAGCAGCGTGGTCAGCTGCGGCTTGCGTACGTGGCCTCTCAGGCCAACACTGCTGATATCTTCACCAAGGCACTTGCGCCTTGTGATCATCAGCGCTTCTGTACTCAGCTGGGTCTTGTGCCTACCTTGCCTCACTTGCTCACCCCTTGACCTTGTTTGTACTGTTGCATATATATATACACCTGCTCTTGCTTGTCTAGCCTTATATATATATGTAATCCTGCATGTGAACTGGCCTTGTGGCCTTGAACTTGTGCTCGGAATGTGTGGTGACTTTGTGATCCACCCTGAGCTTGCTTTGCTTTGCTTGACTGGTCTTGTGACCCCTTGTTCTCCCCCACTTTGCCTATGGGGGTGTGTCAGATTTATATGACATAGCTACTGTAGGCTATAGTGGGGTAGCACATATGGGGTACAGTTTTCTAGGGTTTACATTTGTACCCAACTTTCCCTTAGTCAATTCATTCTCGTTCAGTTTCTCACCCAACCCACCCCATCTCGCCCCGACCCACCTCACCTCGTCCCACCCCATCCCACCTCGCCTTGTCCCCATCTCCCCCATCCCACCTTCCCTGATTCGTAAGCCTCACCCGCCCACCACCTAATTCCTCCTCGTCCTGCTGTACCTAATCTCTCTTTCGTAGCCCCACATCTTCCTTAGCAGGCTGGCGCGTTGCTGGCGCAAAGAGCAGTGCCTGGCGTGCTCTTGTGAACTGATGGCTGACTTTTTTGTTAAGGGGCATTAGAAGAAGAAGACTCCCCCCCTCGCCCTTCTCCCGCAAGATGAAGTTCACGGCCGTCGCATTACTCTCAATGAGGTTCTCTAACCTGATCTATGCTTTCTTGGAATTCATCATCTAAAGGGTGACCCCGCCGCTGATTTATTAGAGGTAACAGATCATGAGAAGAATACTTCTTTTGTAAATAATCTTTTAAGAAATACCCTATGACCCTTCTAGAGTATCATTTATTGCATCTTTAATCCTTTTATAAATGTCGTCCTTAGTAAAATAAGTAGCTTTTCATCGTTCTTGTCTAATCCCTTGCCCTTCCATTCCATCCCAGGGCCTCCTCCCTCTGACGGATTCTCGTCTGCGGGCGGATCAGCGGGCGTCGGAGGAAGGGTACCCTGACCGGGCGCGGCGTTTCACCACTAGTCACGCCTGGCGCCGCGGACAGCGCATTGCGCACTGCTGCAGCAGCGGAACACGGCGTCTGCGCTGCAGCAGCAGCGGCGGAAGCGCGAGCTGCAGCATGGGGACGCCCTGCCACAAGGTTTGCCGTTGTTTTCCGCTCTTTTCCGCCGTTTCCCGCTTGCCAGCGCCATTCATCGCTCCCTCCCCCTGCACTCCCTTCCCTCCCTGCCCTTCCCTCCGCGCCCCTCCGCTCATACCGCCGTCGCCATGCACGTCTGCGACTGTGCGGACGTCCACTCCCCCCGCTCTGCTTCTCCCCCCTCTTTTCCCTCACCTTCCCCGCCCCACCCCCACTCTGACCTCCCCCGCCTCCCCTTGTACCATCGCCAGGTCCGCGTTTCCTGGAAGGTGCTGCGAGTGACCTGGCGTGCGCTGCCGGTGACGTGGGGTGGCGCTGGCGCGAGTGACTTGGCATGGCATGGCGCTGCCGGTGACATGGCGAGGCGCTGCCGGTGACTCGACGTCGATGCTGGTGACGTGGCGAGGTGCTGCTGATGACTCGGCATGGTGCTGGCTGTAACGTGGCGTGGTTTTGTGGCGTGGCGCTGCTGGGAGTGACGTGGCAGGGCGTGGCGCTACCGGGAGTGACGTGGCATGGCGTGGTGCTGCCGGGAGTGACGTGGCGAAGCGTCGGAGTGACGTGGCGAGGCGTGGCGCTGCCGGGAGTGACGTGGCGACGCGTGGCGCTGAAGGGAGTGACGTGGCGACGCGTGGGGCTGCGGGGAGTGACGTGACGACGTGTGGCGCTGCTGGCGGTGACGTGGCGACGCGTGGCGCTGCTGGCGGTGACGTGGCGACACGTGGCTCTGCTGGCGGTGACGTGGCGTCGCATGGCACTGCCGTCGGTGACGTGGCGACGCGTGGCTCTGCTGGTGGTGACGTGGCAACGCGTGGCACTGCCATCGGTGACGTGGCGATGCGTGGCGCTGCTGGCGGTGATGTGGCGACGCGTGGCTCTGCTGGCGGTGACGTGGCGACGCTTGGCGCTGCTGGTGGTGACGTGGTGCGGCGCTGCCGGTGGTGACGTGGTGTGGCGCTGCCTCGAGGTGAGATGGAGACCACACATGGAAAGTCTAAAACAAAAACAGATTAAAGAATAACGAGGGAACTTACATGCAGAAAACGAATCAGCAAGAACTAAAGTAACCATTTCAGGCCCACCCTCTCATTTCTGGCCCACCCTCTCATTTCTGGCCCACCCTCTCATTTCTGGCCCACGCTCTCATTTCTGGCCCTCCCACTCATTTCTAACTCACCCACTTATTTCTGGCCCACCCTCTCATTTCTGGCCTACCCACTCATTTCTGCCTACCACTCTCATTTTTGCCTCGCCCTCTCATTTCTGCCTCACCCTCTCATTTCTGGCCCACCCTCTCATTTCTGGCCCACCCTCTCATTTGTGGCCCACCCTCTCATTTCTGGCCCACCCTCTCATTTCTGGCCCACCCTCTCATTTCTGGCCACCCACTCATTTCTGCCTCCCCCTCTCATTTCTGCCTCACCCTCTCATTTTTGCCTCACCCTCTCATTTCTGGCCCACCCTCTCATTTCTGGCCCACCCTCTCATTTTTGGCCCACCCTCTCATTTATGGCCCACCCTCTCATTTCTTCCTCACCCTCTCATTTCTGCCTCACCCTCTCATTTCTGGCCCACCCTAGCACACTCACCCCCGACGGACGGAGGACAGACAGACTCAGACTCAGCAACAAGAGTAGCGGCGTAGTCTAGACAACAGGCGGCAGCAAAGTCAACAAGCTCAGCAACTAAGGCAGACGCAGCAGTGGACTCAAACGAAGGGTCAGTGACAACAGTTGCTAGAAGACGTGTGACAGTAAGACTAGCAGCACGAAGTAAGTCAGACTCAGGGTCCGGCCCGTCAGCAAGAGAGGACCCAGGAGGAGACGGTAGAGGGACACGTAGTGGAACAGAGGAAGGACGAAGTGCCATCTGGTGCGTGCCGGGGACAGGAGGAGGACGCTGACGCGGAACACGACGACCAGTGCGAACAGCGCGAACAAGCGAGGCAGGACGAGACGCAGGCTCACGACGCTTTGTAATCGAGTATGTCTGCTCAGGGTAAGGAGAAGGAGTAGGCAGTGGGGAGCCTGGCTGTAACGGGAGACCAGTAGAAGATGGGAGGCTAAGAACCTGGCGATGCACCGAGTCAGGCGGTGGCAGAGACGACGTGTATGGCGGAGCGAAGAACAGTCGCCGCTGTATAATACCACCAGCACCAGGACCACCAGCTCCAGCACCTCCAGTACAAGTACCAGTAGCCCCAGCGCCTTCAGCAGCTCCCGAACTTACAACTCCAGCGCCTCTAGCTCCTGTGCCTCCAGCACCAGCGCCTCCAGCTCCAGTGGCTCCAACTTCAGAGCCCACAGCACCAGAAGCTCCAGTACCTCCAGCACCAGCAGCACCACCAACTCCAGCAGCTCCAGTACCTCCAGTACGAGCACTTCTGGGATAAACAGCTCCAGCACCAGCAGCACCACCAGCTCCAGTACCTCCAGTACTAGCACCTCCAGCCCCAGCGCCTTCAGCTCCAGGGTCTCTAGGACTAGTAGCTCCAGCACCCCCAGTACGAGCACCTCCGGGACTGGAAGTGCCAGCACCACCAGCAACTCCAGCACCAGCAGCACCACCAGCCCCGGCAGCTCCAGTACCTCCAGTACGAGCACCTCCACGACCAGCAGTGCCAGCTCCTCCGGTACCTCCAGCTCCAGCGGCTCCAGCCGCAGTGCCTCCAGCTCCAGCAGCGACACTCCGAAGGCGGAGCTGCTAAGCGTACCACTCGCGCGGCTGCTGCGGTGAGAGAGGCTCCCATAGTGGAGAAGCAGTACCCCTAGGCGCAGCACCCCCAGGCTCAGCAACACCAAGCTCCGCACCCGCAAGCTCAGCTCCCCCAGGCTCCGCACACTCAGGCTCAGCACCCACAGGCTCCACACGCTCAGGATCAGCACCCGCAGGCTCAGCACCCCCAGGCTCCGCACGCTCAGGCTCAGCACCCCCAGGCTCCGCACGCTCACGCTCAGCACTCCCAGGCTCCGCACTCGCAGGCTCAGCACCCCCAGCAGCACCTGAGTCACTAGTGACCTCGACAGGCTCAACCAAGGGGAGCGGTCTACCTAAGACACACCTGAGGGAGCAGGACCCTGAGTGGGGAGGGGTTCTACCGGAGGGAGACCTAGAGCGAGGAAAAGCGGTGGGGGAGGGAGAGGGGCAGTGCGGTGGGGGAAGAGACGGTAAAAGGGGACCGACTCATCAAACGTGACGTCCTGAGAGCGGAAGACACGGCGCGTGGTGGGGTGGTAAAACTGCCAGCCAGACGCGTCAGAGAGAAAGCCAAGGAAGACACCGGGAACAGCGCGGGCGGAGAGCTTGTTCGCGGAAGCATCGCGGACAAAGGCACGACAGCCCCAGACCCGGAACACCGACGCATCGCCAACCTCCCCCGTCCAATGCAGTGTGGGCGAGGTCTCCGGTAAGGAGACACGGGGCCAGAGGTTGAGCTGATGCGCACCGTACTGGACTGCAAACGGCCACAGAAAATGGGGGGCAGCCGCATGGATCATGGAGGTACGAGCGACCTCCATGACTAAGCCAATGCGGTGCTCAGCAACCCCATTCTGCTGCGGAGAGGCGAGAAGCGTGAACGTCTAGCGGATGCCCTCCCCAAGAGGTCGGAGGCGAACTCACCACCTCTGTCAAAGTGCAGACGCAGGACAGGAAAGTCCGAGTGGAACCGCTCGCGAAGCCGGAGACGGACAGCGCGGATCCAAGGGATCAAGACATCAGGGACCTCCCCATTGCTGCGCACCCTTGCTGCGCAAGGGCAAGACCGTGGTGTAACGCGAGTAGTCGTCGACAACCAGCAGAAAGTATCGCTCGCGGCCCTGTCCACGGACGTAGGCTGGGCCCCACACGTCCATGTGAAGAGTCTGCAAGGGAGCCTCTGTCGGGGGAAACGAGGAAGAGTGAGGAGCGGCGCGCTGCCGCCCTTCGACGCAAGGAAGACAGAGCGGGGCAGACGAGTGTGGGAGGGCAGGTAGAGACCTGGGAAGACCAGAGACAAGGTAGCGGGAGTGCATGCCATGGAGGCGTGGCAGGGAGGGGTGACCAAGGCGGTGGTGCCAAAGGAGAGTCTGGTGCGACAGGGTGCGACACGAGCAGGGGGCCGCAAGCTGACCTGACGCGGACGCAGCTACCTGGGGAGGCTCAGTAGTCAGTGTGTACAGACTCGACCCAGGCCGACGGGTGAACGTGGCCAGGTGTCGGCCCGTCCGTGCACACGTGCAGATCGACACACGCTGACCCCCAGGAGTAAAGGTATCAACCATCGCATCCTAAAGGGCAGCGGTACTTACCAAGATCGTAGAGAACGAGGGGAGGTGAAGACCTGAGAGTGAGCCGGACGGAACAGCCGGACACGGGAGAACAGTGGTAGAATGGGCAAGAACTGGCCCCCCTAAGGGGTCAGCCAGTCTGACAACAACAGGTGCAGGGAGTGGCGTGACTGTGGTACCGTCGCGAAAGAAACAGCGGGAAGCACCTGAGTCAAGCGTGAAAGTGTGCAAGGCCTCAACAGGCGCAGTACCAAAGAGAGCAGACTCACTAGCACCTAGAGCAGCAGCCTCTATACCTGGGTCGGGCGGCACACACTAGTAAAAGTCACCCTCAGCACTAACAGTCAATGCATACATGGCAGTAAGGATGGCGTCATAGTCTAGCGCAAAGACATCGACGCCCTGCCTAAGCAGCTCTAGCCAGCGGGAGAGCTCAGCCGCGTCGCCAAACTCTGCACGCCAGGTGTCGCTCAGATAGGAAAAGCAGCGGGACTGTGTGTGGCCAAGTGTCCCGCATGTCTGACCAGCCCGATCACCTGTGCGAATGACGTACTAGCAGCGAGCACTACTCAAAGACCCCCCACACTGAGCATACCACTCACGAAGCTGCTGGGGTGTAAGGGTCTCGCGCGGACGCGGCTGCAGCTGCAACAGGTCACCGCCAGAAACTCCCAACCGACTAACTGTACCGCGACTGCCACTACGGCCGCCGCCACGACACCTGGCGTACCACTCACGAAGCTGCTGGGGCGTAAGGGTCTCGCTCAAACGTCGCTGCAGCTGCATTTGGCCACCGCCAGAAACTCCCCACCGAACAGCTCCAAAGCGACTGCTACTGAGGCCGCCACCACTCCCACTGCTGCCGCCACTGCCGCCACCACTCCCACCGCTGCCGTGAAGGGAAGTGATGCGACCAGCAGGGCAACATGCACGGCAGGAAGGGCGGCTAGGAGGCACTAGGGTAGGTCGGGGCGATGCACGGTCAGGGCAGGGCGGTGCGCGGTCAGAGCAGGGTGGCGCGCGGCCAGAGCAGGGCGGCGCGCGGCCAGAGCAGGGCGGCGCGCGGCCAGAGCAGGGCAGCTGCAGGCAGTAGCTCCTAAGGCGGAAGCAGCTAGGGTTTTTTTTTTTTTTTTTTTTTTTTTTTTTTTTTTTTTTTTTTTTTATTTATTCAGGGTTTAGTAGGGCGTTGGCGCAGGGCAGGGCGCTGGCGCAGGGCAGGGCGCCAGCTCGTGCACGGCAGGGCGCTGGCTCAGGGCAGGGCGCTGGCACAAGGCAGGGCGCTGGCGCACAGGAGGGCGCTGGCATAGGGCAAGGCGCCGGCGCGCGCAGGGCAGGGCGCTCGCGCAGGGCAGGGCGCTGGCGCAGAGCAGGGCGCTGGCGCAGGGCAGGGCGCTGGCGCAGGGCAGGGCGCTGGCGCACGGGCTGCAGTGGTGCGTGACACGAGGGGCAGCAGGGCGCGACGCGCTGGTTGCAGCAAGGCGCGACGTGTGGGCTGCAGTAGGGCGAGACGCTCGGTCAGTAGGGCGCGACACGCGTGCTGCATCAGGGCGCGACGCGCGGGGCAGCAGGGCGCGACGTGCGGGCTGCAGCAGAGCGCGACGCGTGGGGCAGCAGAGCGCGACGCGCGGGCTGCAGCAGGGCGCGACGCGCAGGGCAGCAGGGCGCTACTCGCGGGTT